ACAAATATCTTATTTTTTCATCAACTAACCATCCTCCCAACCATAAGGCTTCAATTCCACCCATAAACATTGATGCAATCCTATCCTAATCTCAAATTTCATCATGACATTGGTTTAATACTATTATTATTATTATTATAACTATTATTATTATTATTAATAAACTTTTATTATTATTATTATTATATTATTATTATTATTATTATTAAACTAATATAATTATTATTATTGTTATTACAAAATAATATATTATATCATCATAATACTTTATAACACAAATATAATATTCTAATTAACTAATATTGCTTAATTAAACATAATCAACAAATAAAATTAATTATAATAATACATGCACAATTAAATGAATAAATTTACTATTTTAACATACACAATTAATTTACATGCACCATTTAATGAACTTAATATAACAATGAAGCATGCACAATAATAGGTACAGGAATCCACACATAATTGAATTTAAATACACTAAACTCTTTAATTAATTACGGGGTATTACAATACCCTTATGTTGTTTGGGATTGCATGCATGATGTGATTTATGTTAGAAATGTTTTAAGGTAGCTTAAGATGCTCCCTGAGTCTAACATTTGACATAGACGTTAGGTGGCATGACCCTTGTGAATTGTTTCAAGTCAATATAAAAATCTCTAAAGAAATCGAGTCATGCATGCTCATTCTCTATGAGTAAACTCATTTACTCACCCCGAAGTTACTGGGGGGCTGTTTCAGGTACGAAGACTTGGTTCGTGATGTTCATCATTGCTTGGATGATTGTAGACTTGAAGGTTTTTAACTCTTATAAAGGTTGTCTTGGAATGCCACTTATAGCCTTTTATATCAAAATGTGTATATTTGATTTCATATATGTAATGTGTACATGAGTACATTCCTTACAATGTATTTGACATGTATGAGATGAGGCTGGAGGCTAATGACATGTAATTTGTATTCTATGTAATTTTTGACTTCATGGAATATTATGAAAATATTAAAAAATATTGAGTTATTGTTTCACCATGTTTGCATCGGGTGTGGGAATTCTATTTTGATTCTTCCATAGGGTCTCATTAATCATGCATGAAGTGTGGCTAAGGGCCAAAATGTATTTTGAAACCATTTCAAAATTTTGAATTTCGAGTTTTCATTCCAAGTTCCATTTTTGTCATTTTGGCCGTTGAGGGGTCGAATTTTGCATCGGCAATATTTTTAAGCCGTGGATCATTATCGCACGTCCTAATAAGTAAGTTACGTTTGCGTGCATAATCGTTTCCGGGAAAAAAAAACTCTTTCGTTGGTGAAATGAGCCTCTTATGGACTCACTTTGCATCTTTATTGCACAATCTGATATGGGGGCATTCTAGACTTTTCACTGTAGTTTTATTTTCTTCTTTCAATATGGTTTAATAGAAAACGTGATTTTAGGCGGGGTTCCTTCTTTGTGTTTTTCCAGAAAATTTCGTCTTAGTATTGGAAATCCTTTGCAAAGTTCAACTTTCTGTTTTTCATTTAGCAGCTTTTTGGACCCTTATGACCTGATTTCATGGAGGGGCATTTTGGGCATTGTAAAGTGAGTTTTTTTCGATTCCTTACATGAGGTCATGTAGAAAACTCAATTTTGAAGGGGGTTTCTTCTTTGTGTTTTTCCAAAAAATGTCATATTGGCCCTCAAAAATATAATTTTTAACAAAAAAACCCTGCTGCCAAGTTTCCTTGTTGACCGTTCTGTTTTTTTTGCTTTGTAACCGGTTAGAAGGGGTCTCCTAACCGGTTAGATGTGCTTGGGTAGTGTTGTGGTTGTGATTTTTGGCCTCATAACTAGTTAGGAAGGTGTGGTAACCGGTTAGATGTTCTAGGGTTTGCTCCTTTTGACCTTTTTGCCCCTTCTTCTTCCGTTAGCCATATCTTCTTCATCCGGACTCCGAATCAAGTGATTCTTGAGTCTAAGTTCACTAATTTTTCGTTGTCTTTCCAATGGTATGCTTGGTAGCACCCACTTTTATGTTGAAAATGACCATTTTGCCCCTAGGCTCATTCTTGTCCGTTTTTGAAACGCCACTTCCGCATTTATTTCTTTTGGGTTCCGTGACCTCGTTGAGGGTTACATTGGTGTCTTAGAGACGTATTGTATCTCTAGAGACTGTTGTTTCATCTTTTGCTTCCGCATTCTGGATCCAGTTCGGGTCATCACATGATACATTGGGTTAAAAAATCCAAGGTCGTTACATCAAAGGAATTATGTGAATTGCAGTCCTCACCTCATCAGAACAATATGCAGGAAGACACCAAATTCCATCTGCAATGTAAATAGCAATAGCCTCTACTTTATTTATTTGTCTGAACATAGTAGCACCAAATTTTTGAATCAATGTTTGATTATCACACCAAGGATCTGTTAATAATTTAAAAATTAAACCATTTCCAACCTTGAAATCAATATTATCCAACAAAATCTGTCTAATTTCAAGCATTTGTTTCCAAATTGGTGAGTCTCCAACCTTTCCAATCATATTCCAAAAGGAAGATCTTTTAAAATAGATGGCTTGAAGCCATTGAATCCAAAGCTTGTCCTTTTTCTGCAAGAAATCCCAGCACAAAGTAAATTTTGTAGCCGAATCAATGTCTTTGATTCTTCTAATATTGAAGCCCCCTTCAACCAAAGGAACAGTAACTGAACTCCATTTTAGTTGAGAAAGTTTCTTCAAATCTTGTTTGCCACTCCTTAAGAACTGCTTAAACCTCTTCTCCAACTGATTTTTGATCCCCTAAGGAATTTTGAAGCCCAACAGCCAGTGATACAAGTAAGAATACAAAACTGATTTTTTCAATTCAACTCTTCCAGCCAAAGAAAGATTGATAGTATTCCAGTGACTTAATCTAGCATTTACTTTATCCAATAAGTTACTGAAATCTTCAGCCCTTAACTTGTGAAATATATATTATGTTGAAAAAGAATAAGGAAAGAAAAATAATTGACTGTTCCAATAATTTCTTTAGAGTAGAATTAATTTTGTTATTTAGATCATTTTATGGGCATCAACATGTGAAAAAAATAACTTCGTAAAAATGGTTTACATGGTAAAAAATAAATTAATTTTGTTATTTAGACCATTGTTTTGGACTTGTTTCATTGGTTTCCATGGTAAAAATGCTTATTTGATTGATTTTTTAGTGGCATATTGAAACACTGTTACTAAATTTCTTAAAAGGCAAAATAGTTTTTGCAATCTTTTATTTATTTATTTATTATTATATATATATGGTTTGTTGCAAATAAATTTGATAAATTGAATGAAGGGTAAAATATTTATGTTAATAGTAGAAGAGTTTCAACAAACTTTTTGCCAAACAGATAAAAAAAACTCACATATCATTAAAAGCTCTTCTACAATGCAGTTCTCAAATACTAAGGTGTTGTTTGATAAAACTGAAAATTATGCACTGAAAAGTTTAAGTATTAAATTTGAAGCGCTGAAATTTTAAATGTTGAATGAATTAATTTAAAAACCTATTTGATAATATTTTAATTTTAAGTACTGAATTCATTAAGATTGTTTGTTATATACAAAAACTGAATTCTGAAAGTTATACAAATTACATTTTTGCCCTCAATATATGGTACTCATAACAATTTTATATTTATAATATAAAAATATTAATAAAATAACCACATTAATTCACTCAATGAAATATATCAATTTAATAATGAATAATAATGTCAAATAATCAAAAAAATAATTGATGAAAATTTAAAATATATGAATTTTGGATTACATAACATTTATGTAGGATATTGAAAACGGTGCTACAAAGATTAAAGAAAGTAAAATTTAAAATATATGGATTTTGGATTACATAATATTTGTTTGTAAGATATCGAAAAGGTGTTACAAATATTAAAGAAAGTAAAATTTAAAATATATTAATTTTGGATTACATAAAATTTACGTATGGTATTGAAAATGGTGTAAAATTTAAAATATATGGGTTTTGGACTATATAATATTTATGTACAGTATCGAAAAGGATGTTAAAAATATTAAAGAAAGTAAGTGAAAAATAATTCTTATCTAGAAATAGAATTATATTATATAAATACTTGTGTTAAATCAATTTGAATAGGTAACCAAAAGAGACGTGTTTATAAGATAATACGTATTATTATTCTTATTCTTATTCTTATTATTATTATTATTATTTTGGGAATTTGGTAAAATTATATATTTTTTAAAGAATTTGTTCTATAACGTGAAAGTAAAAAAAGAAGAAAAAAAAAAAGTAACAACCAACCAAATATATATAGAAAAGTTTTTCAATTTTAAACAAATTGCAGAGAGAAGCCCTATAGAAATCGCAGAGAGAAGCCTAGAAGAGAGAGCGTGATTATTGGAGGGTAGAGTAATCGCTAAAAAAATAGTTTTAAAACCTAATCACTTACCGTCTTTTGCAATAAGCAACTCTTCCACGCTTAAAATTTTGGCTTCTTTTAAGCGGTACTTATCATGTTAAGCGGTGTCCTAAAATTTTATAAAACACACTTATTTTTTAAAATCACTTACCGTCCTATGCATTCAGTACTTAAATAGGAAATCAAACAGGCCCTAACACATAAGTCGAATACAAGTGATGTGTAAAAGTGGAAATAAAAGCTATGCCAAACGGCCCTATGTGTCATGATGGAGCAACAAAAAAAAGTTGTCCAAGATTGTGTAATTAGGACAAACCTAAGATAAATGTAATTTACTTTTTTTTCTTTAACCTCTTAAATGCCACTATTATTTTTGTTTTTATATTATATTTATTTTCGTGCTTATCCAAATGCACTATCACAGGTATATATTTTCAATTATTTTGTATTTATGTAATTGAAATTTTCGTAAACATAATATTTATTTTAGAAAATAGTTTTTAATTTTTAAATACATTTCTCTTTCTCGAGTAATAAATTTAATTAAGTAAAAATTATTGTCGTTAGATTCTCTTTTATTGAATATCAAAATTCTCCCGAAATATAGAAACACAGAGAACCCAAAAACCAAAACCTAATCAAGAGAGAAATTCACATGCTAAGGTTTAATAAGCACGGCGAAGAAGACGTTGTATTAGCAGTACCCTGTATTCAATTATCCATGTGCCATTTCCTTCCTACAACATTAGAGAGAGAAACTAGAGAGAGAAAGTAGAGAGAGGATAAGTGGATTAGGCTGGAATTGGTGTGTGCATACACACACATGCACACATATATATGCAATAGAATTCCCGGAGTTCATGTTTGATCAATCATGTCCAAGTCAGTGATGGTGAAGCGCAAGGAACGAAACCTCAAAAAGCTCTACAATGTCACTGAGATGATTACGAGACCGGAGGCATGTAATTATGTTGCCCTAAGTGATACAATTTAATTAGGGTTTTTAATCTTTTTTGTTTTTAAATTTGAATTGATATGTTTTTATATCCATTTGTTCGTGTGTCTGACTGAAAAAGTTTCATTGTTTTTAGAAATCATCATGATTGGATTTGCATCAACTGTTGAGAAATTTCAATCTTGATTTGCTACTGTTGGTGAATTATATAATTCGATTAATATCTGGAGCTTAGGGTTTTTTGATTCTTGAAGAATCCACTTATTATTCTACCTACGGGAGTTTCATTTTGAACTCTCTAGAACTCTCCCTCCCTTTCATAAATTCATCCAATCATTGGTTTAAATGACATGCTTTTACATGTTATGTTGATTTATTGGTCAAGTCAGGATGCAAACGTTTGGTTAGTGCTTTTGGACACCATTATTAATGTTGTGTTTGTGTGCTTTTTAGATCACCCCAGTTTTGAGAGGGAAATGTAGGATGCAGGGGCCGATAGACGAAGCTGATTATGAAATCCAGTCAAATACGGTGAGATAACAGGGTAATTACGGGTTATTATTCTTATCCTTTTCTGTTTATTTTCTCCCTTTTTTCTTTGGGTTTTTTCAAATTTGTGTAGATCAGTAGGTTCACAAGAAGCATCTTTTTCCTCTTTCCATTTTTTTTTACCAAATAAATTATGTAGCAACGGGACATAAAAACGATACCTGTATTAGAGTGTCTAGCGCAACAGATTTGTAGTTATATTATTATGTTTTCTGGGGACTCGATAAAAGCTTTAAGGAATTGTCACTTATACTATACTCTGATCTCTACATACAAATGGGTCAAAGGGAATTGGGAAACAACATGGAGTATGCATATCCTTAGGTACTATTCTTCTGCTTTTTTATTTATGTGAAGTTATCTTGATGAACTCTTAACTAGTATCCTTTACCATTTTGTGTACTATTTGGATCAATGATACGTGTCCTTCATAGTGTTCTCCATTCTGTTTCATTTAAATTCTTGTTCTTGTGGCATACTAACCCGTGGACTAATTATATTCATGCAATTTGTTATTTTTTCGTACATATGAGCTCAAGGACTAGTCATATTAATCCCACAAAGTTAGGCTTAGGGAAAATGTGGGGTTCTCTCATCACTTGGTTATAAGAAAGAAAGAAAAGATGTTACTTTGTCTCAGGAACACCACCGTCATTCGTTATCATGACGAATCAATCTATCACTTCGTACCTATCATTATGATCTATTTGTTTTCTTCCAGCTCTAATACTGGCTATTTAGAAAAAAAAATAAAATCCCACAGTTTGGGTTTGTCATTCCTCACATTTTTGGACTTTTGTTATGACTTATATGGGGTTAGTGTAAATTTTGTGCTAGCAATCTTCATATTGTACATCGTTAGTGATGTAAGAATGTTGGCAAGGAAAGAGAAAAAGATATGGAAATTGAAAGTACAGGATATAAGTTCTATTACACCTGAAAAGATGAGATAGAAACAGAGCTGTGGTTTTAATAGGAATTTAAAAGTAGGCATTGTAATTGTTTTTTTTTTTGGTAAGTAAAGAAGTATAGAAAGCATTCAAAAGGGGAACGTGTCCCTAGAATACACAGAGGCCAAAGAAAAAGCCAAAAGAGGGATCCTAAGGACCCACAGAGGCCAAGAAATCAACAATCTCCTCTATAGACGTACAATATCTGCCCATACCCCAACAAAAAATGAAGCTAATAATATGGAATTTCAAAGGAGACTCCTTCCCATCAAAAGATCTGTTATTTCGCTCCTTCCAAATGCATCCTAAAACACGTAAAGGAGCTACCCTCCAAAAAAGACGAGCGAAAGAACCCACCCCACATGCTCTCCAAGAGTCAATCAAACCTCTCGTCGTTTGGGGCATAACCCATTGCACTTCAAACAAGCCAAAGATCAAACTCCAGCAGTTGTGAGCCACAGGGCAATGCAACAACAAGTGATCCACTGACTCACCATCCTTTTTGCACATGCAACACCAATTAACTGTAACCTGCCTTCTCCTTATGAAGTTATCAAGTGTCAGAATCTTGCCCCAATCTGCAGTCCAAAGTCCAAACAAAAAAAGCCACTTTGAGAGGAGCCTTCAAATGCCACACCGTTTTCCAAGGGAAATCAATCTATGAGAAACCCGAGAGGCAACAAAAAAGGACCAAACCTCAAATCTTCCCTGAGTAGATGGCACCCAATAGAGGGAATCTGGGCCACCACTATCCAGCATATGTCTATACAGCAAATTAAGAAAGTCAGAAACATCGTCCAATTCCCCATCATGAAAATGTCGTCGAAAATGCACATCCTTAGTAATCCTTCCGCTATTAAGCCGATAACAGTCAGCTACCAGTCCACGTCAATCCTAAAGAGCCTAGGGAACAAACAAGCCAATGGACGCTCCCCACACCAAACGTCCTCTCAAAACCGAGTGTTCCTGCTACCTCGAACTTTGAATCTGATGTGTTTTGAAAACTCATCCCAACCCTTCCGAATGAACTTCCAAACCCCAATACCACCAGGTGATCTAACCACACGGGAGCACCACCCACCTCTCTCCTCCCCAAAGCGGCAAGAGACGACCGTCCTCTATAATCGATGTCGCTCCCCTCCAAATCTCCAAAGCCACTTCCCTAGGAGAGCCTTATTAAAAGGGATCACCCTCCTAATACTTAAACCACCCAACTAGATACATCTGCACACTTGCTCCCAACGAATTAGATGGTACTTAAACTCATCTCCCAACCTAACCCAAAGGAAGTTCCACTGAAGCCTTTAAATCCTTCCAGCCATGGTGGCGGGGATCTGAAAAGGAGAGAGAAAGTATGTGGGAAGACTCGCCAATGTTCTCTTCATAAGGGTGACCTTCCCGCCCTTCGAAAGATACTGCTTCTTCCACCCAGTAAGTCTCTTCCCAAACCTCTCAAACCACAGGGTCCCAACCCCCAACCCTTCTTGACGGTGAACCCAAAGGCATGCCCAAATAAGAAATGGGGAAAGAGGAGATCCCATAGCCAAGCATCGCTACAAGTTCAACAATGTTATGCACCTCCCCCACAGGGACTAACGAACTTTCCCTACGTTCACTTTTAGACCTGATACAGCCTGAAAGCAAACTAAAACACATCTCAAATATCTTATCTGGGACACATCTGCTTCACAGAAGACCAATGCATCATCTGCAAATATCAAATGGGAAACCTCTATCTGATGATCCGAGTCTCTGCCCACCCTAAAGCCCCTAATGAATCCCAATTCACAGACCTCCTCATCAATCCTCTAAGAGCCTCCATAACAATAATGAACAAAAAAGGAGAAAGAGTATCTCCTTGTCTCAAGCCTCGAGAATTGCCAAAGAAACCTGACGGAGCCCCATTCACCAACACCGAGAATCTCACTGACGAAATGCAGAACTCGATCCACCTCATCCATTTCACCCCAACCCAGCCTCTCCATCATATAAAGTAGAAAACTCCAACTAATGCTTTCTCAATATCAAGCTTACAAAGAACTCCCGGAACACCACTACTCAACCTAGAATCCACACACTCACTAGCAATGATGGTTGAATCCAAGATCTGCCGACCCCCAATGAAAGCATTTTGAGATTCTGAAATAACACTATCCAAAACATCCCTCAACCTCGAAGTAAGGACTTTAGCTTTCAGCTTGTACAAACACCACACCAATCTAATAGGTCTAAAAGCCTTCACACCAGTGGCACCACCCTTCTTGGGAATGAGAGCAATAAAAGTAGCATTCAAAGATTTCTCGAACCGCCCAAAAGAATAGAACTCCTGGAATGTCCCCATCACCTCACACCCGACCACCTCCCAACTCTTCAGCAGGAACCTCATAGTGAAACCATCCGGACCCGGGGACTTGTCGCCATTGCAACTCTTTAGCTCCTTCAAAACTTCCTCTTCGGAGAAAGGAACTTCTAGACCCTCCCTATCCATCTCTGAAATCGAGTCAAAAAGCAAGCCACCAAGTCTAGGTCTCCAACTGTATGTCTCAGTGTACAATCTCTGATAGTACGAGACAATCCTCCTGCACACCTCCTCCTGTGAGCGTTAGCCAACCTATGAAAGAATTTTGTATTGCGGTCACCCTCTTGGAGCCATAAGACCCGTGACTTCTGACGCCACGATATCTCCTCCAAAGTAGCAATCTCCGCAAACTCTCCCTGACACTTCGCCCTCCGCCTCCTCTGAGCCTCGACAATACCACCTAAACCTTCCAACCTATCGATCTTATCAAGAGCCCTATTCTTCCTCCACTCCAGATTCCCAAAAACCTCCTTATTCCACCTTTTAATCTTAGCCTTCAAGAGCCGAAGCTTTCCGGCCAAAATAGGAAGTGCCGACCACTGTAGCCTCCTAAAAAAGGAATAGAATAATATTACTACAACTTGTATTAGAGGAAATAGAGTTAATTTAATTATGGGTAAATTACCTTGACCCCCTTGCTGTATTTTCTTATTACTCATAGATTAAAGTTTTTGCCTTCTTTCTATGACACTCCTGTCAGAGAAATAATTCGTTAAATAACTTAATAGTTCTTGCACTTTTACTGTAATGCCCTTAAATTAAAGTGGCGAATTACAATAGTTCCCCTGCTCTTTGTTGCATTATCTGATGTCAACAATATGAATTGAATTTCTCGAAATGCCCTGATTAGTTATTAGATTGCTATGAAAATCACAAAACCCTAACTCTTCTATCACAATCACGAAACCTTAACTCCTCTTCTATTGATCTTCTGCTCCGCCTCTCTCTTCACAACCCCTATCCGGCGTCTCCGCCACAAACCTGTGCACAAACCCGCCACAAACCCAACCGCCGCCCCTCTAAAATAACATTCCCACTCCGGCCACCGACTGTGATCCATGTCGCCACCTACTTTCTCTTGTTTAGATCCAACCTTTCTCTCTCTCTCTCTCTCTCTCTGTCTCACTCAAACAAGGCAAGAAAACAACAGTTGACTAGAAGCTTCTTGGCGGCGAGAATGTTCTGGGCATGCAATCTGATCTCTCTCATATTGAACCTCTCTCTATCTATTGTATTTCTTATCTTCCTGGCAAATCATGTGTTTTAGTAGCCACAGCTGAGCGAAACCCATCAAACCATTGATCAACGGTCAAGGCATGCCTGACATGTGTCTGAGAATATCCAAGAATTATTGGGTGCCATCGGAGGGCTAGCTGCTTCTCTCATCCATGTTCCAACAGAGGTTGTCAACAAAGGATGCAGACCAGGCAATTTGCTTCAGCTCCTGATGCTGTCCACCTTATTGTTTATAGGGAAGGTTTCAAGGTTCTCTTTTTTAATGTAATGCATTCATTGTTTATATGAATGAATAAGTAATTGAATTTAATTTCTTAAGGATCTTGGTGAGAATGGGTTCGAGATCGTTCTTGGAGATTGCTAGGTTGCCTTGCATTAATCAGGGCGGCACTGTAAAGGCCGTAAATCCCTTCAAAGGTCCTTCGATTTATCTTGAT